TTATGACGTAGGCATCTCCAAGTAAGGATTTTGATCATTTCCAACTCCAATGGGATAATGTAGGGGATGAAAGTTTGTATGAGGCTTTGTCAGTTTTACACAGATCGGGTTGAAATTCGGCGTGCAGGTAGATATTATGACGTACACGTCCCTTTAGAAAGGTTTTTGAACATTTCCACCCCAAAGTGGGTAATATAGAGGGTGAAAGTTTGTGTGATACTTTGCCAGTTTTAAACCGATCGGGCTGAGACTTTGCATGCATAAAGTTACTATGACATAGGTATCTCCTTAGAAAGGATTTTGATGAATTCCACCCCTAAGGGGATAAAATAGGGAATGATAGTTGGTGTGAAAATGGGAATGAAAATTGAATCTAGAATCATTGAATCTTTTTGAATTACATTCGGTAAAACGATGATTTGGGACCTGAGTAACGTATGATAGTTTTTATCTCAGAAGTCCCTCGGGAACGGGAACTATGCGTCAATGCTCCAGGACTCTCTATCTTTTAACCACTGAACTTATTTCATAGAGATTCTGTACAACAGTCGAAGTTTTTATTACTCAAAACTTACGTGATCGGGCCGGGACTGGTAAGAACCCTGCGGGATTTTTAATTTATTGAAATTACGATAAATCATTTCACAATAGGTAAATATTAATTGGGCACTGAATTGATTATGATGAATTCTGTCAGAAGGCATTAATCTACGCGGACGAAGTCGCGGGCAACAGCTAGTATATTATAAAAATTAAAAAAAAAACAAGGAACCCTAATATAACAGCAAATTGACCGCAAAATATTTCTTATAGGCTTCACTTCTTTTTGTTTTTTGATTTGTCTGTATTACGAAAGCTATAAGACAGTTCTAGATTGAAGTTGTTGTTGCATGTCAACAAAAAGTGGATTGAGTGCTTGATAGTTGAGATAATATATTCGTAAGAAGTCTATCGGTAAGTTGTTCCTAATCGACCGATTTGGAAGTTATTAGGAAAGGCAAAGATCTTCTCTGACTTAGAACATGAGTTCCACAGTAGAGGTCTTGTTGATTACATTATTAGGAATGATTACGATGACGAACTTAATTTCGAAAAACATACATATACAATTATTATTCTTGCAGTAATATGACGTTACTGTAGAAATTTGAAATAGAGTACCAGAATACACGACAAACGAACAGACGGGTCACCTGATGGCAAGCAATCAGCGCCGTCCTTGGACGACACCCTTAAAACATCAGGCATTCAGTCAAATTTCTGGGCTTAATTATTGACGAAAAACTAAACTGGAAAAACCTCTCCAAAAAACTAAGTAGCAGTGTGTTAAGTGTTACGCTCTCTACAAAATAACCTCGATAGTTAATACTGACGCTGTGCTTACCGCCCATCATGGACTTGCAGCGTCTAGATTGCGAGATGGACTAGTTTTTTTGGGAAACTCTACAGATAATGATATTGCTTTTAAGGCACAAAAACGAGCTATGTTTGGTCTTCAACCAACAGACAGCTGTAAGCCGCACTTTATCAGGCATGGTATCCTTACACTTCCGTCTCTGTATGTACTTGAGGTAGCAATGTTTGTGCATAGAAATCCTCATCTTTTCGAACGGTTGCGTGATATTATGCCGTGAATTCGGCGTAACAATAATAAGCTGTGTCTTCACACAGCAGTAACGAGTCTTATGGGAAAGAGTCTTTTATGTATGGCGCCAAAAATATACAATTAAATCCCAAACGACATAAAATATTTCAATATTAGTATATTTAAAAATAAATTAAAATCCATTTTATCCAAGAAATGTTATTATAATGTAAATGACTTCTTTAATGACGGTAATTTGTATATAGGACATTCATAAGTTTAACTTTTAATTATTTAAGCACTGACATTTTAATGTATTATACTATGACATTTTTATTTTATTTTTTTGTTATTACCTTTATTGACTTAAGCTAACAATATTTCGTACGCCTGTGAGGGCAGATTTAGGTGGTACTAACTTAATACTGTGATCATAATTATTTACCCAAAATGTAATGAATAAATGATTTTGATTTGATTTGATTTGATTTGATTTGATCAATGGTGTAACTAGACAAGTACGTTGATGACCTTTTGACAATTGAGGACGAAATCAATAATGCTTCAATAATCCTCCTGTGTGGTCTATCAGCGTACTATCAGTCGGCATTTAAGGACAGCTCGGCTGTGTATGTAGCTCAGGAGCCTTTCTTCCACAAGTGCATCATCGTTGATAAGCTTCTTGGAATTCTATGGATTCGAGAGCTTCTAGCTGGTGCTGAGCCGGGGCATCCAAAATATAGGAGCAGTCCATGCACAACTTGTCTAGTGTTTGCTCAAGAGTGAGCAATTGTTTCGGTGCGCAGTACCGTCTCACCCTTGATAGCACAATCTTTTTTTTTTAAGTATTTATATTTGATGGGCCGACGTTAACTTCCTACCAGAATAGCAAGTTACGTCTTTGACTCAATGTATGAGCCAAAGTTAAGATTACATTTACAATATATCGATAATATTTCAATATAATATATGTACTTAATAACAAATAACATGTGCACAAAATTAATGGAAACCTGAAAAGTTATTGTATTCGATAATGTTAACATATCAGAACATAAAATGTTGAAGTACAATATATTTAGTAATAAAACTAAATTAACTATAAATCAAACTAATCATACATTTAATTACCATACTATAGATGCTAAAGTTTGTGTGTATGTTTTTTTTTTTTTTTTAAATTGTTTATCAGTCAATCAGGTCAGAATGGCTAAAAGGATCGCGATGAAATTTGAAGCAAGGGATATATGATCTAAAATGACATAGGTATAGGCTATTTAGCTCACGGAAACTTGGGCGAAGTGGCTGGCAGAAACTAGTATTATGAATGCGAAAGTTAGTAAGAACGTAAGAATGTATTTTTATTATTCTTTCACAAAATAAGTTCTGAACGGATTTAATCTGAGCCATCAGACCACCACGGATGGGTCCAATAGGGCTGATGCCGTTGGCATAAGCTAGTTGGTCTATCTAAATAATGTTACCAATTTTGTATTGAAGTTAATCCAACTACATATTAGGTAGGTACGTTGTAATACAATAACAAACATAAATATTATTGTGTAACATTTGAATTGTAAAACAATTTGAATAACAAAATAAAATTTAAATCAAGAATGTAAGTTTTGTGGGGGATTTCCGTTCAAATATAGGTTAATATATAATATAGGTTAATAAGTTTAATAAAATATAACTATAGTGGTGGATTTGGTTTCACTAGTTTGCCCTACATAGTACCTATACTTGGATAATGCGATTTCACAATGTCAGCACAATTTCTTTATTTTTGTTAAGCATACACATTGTGTTCGGAGATGTTTGGTATTTTGGAAACCTTGCCCCAGGAAATGTTAAAATTCTTCATTATTAGGGTCATGTCGGTATATTCGAACGTACCAAGCATATTAAACTTGAAGTAACTTTGAATATCTTATTATAATCCACTAATTACTTCCGCACAGTTTAACCTGCTCTGCTTAGCTCCTACTGATCGCAGAGCCTTCCTCAATAAATGCACTATCCAACACAAAAAGAATTATTCAAATCGGACTAGTAGTTCCCCTGATTAGCGCGATCAAACAAACAAAATCTTTAAATTTATATAATACTAGCTACTTCCGCGCGGTTTCACACGCTCTGCTTAGCTCCATTGGTCATAGCGTGATGTTTTATAGCATATAGCCATCATCGATAAATGCGCTATCCAACACAAAAATAGTTACTCAAATCAGACTTGTAGTTAAGGAGATTAGCGCGTTCAAACAAACAAACAAAAAAACTAATCTTCAGCTTTATATAACAGTATAAAAAGTAATAAGATATAATATTTATACACCAGTTTGTAACTGTGCTACTTATAGACATAAATATAGTCTCATACAAAATCAAAATGAACGGAGATAAGCCATTTCAGACTTTATTTACATTAACCAAGGTTTTATAACATGATTACCTTAATCATCATTTGATTCTTGTTTCTTATTTCAGATACCAAAGTGTTACATGCTGTCGCACATTGTAGTAGATGTGGACAATATAATTTCAACCCCAAAGATGGGGTTTAATCCAGATACGAACGTAGTGACCTTAAGTTACAGTACATTTCAGAATAGCTTCTCCTCTTATAATTTAATTGCAGAAGTAATCTGGAAATTGGATTGTACCAACCTGTAATCCAAATGAGTGACTGGAGTGGTACCATGGACTAGCGCCCTTGTAACATCTCATGGACGGCACCAAATTGCTTGCCGATCAACTGATTCGATACGATTGGCCACCGACATAAAAAACAGTTTTAGGGCAAATATGTTCACGTAAATTACTCGATAAGTCAGATAATCCTACAGTAGTTACTAGATTGTTTAATAAAATAAATGCAACGTTATGGTATTTTTTTTTATTAACATGATACCTATCACATAACGAGTGTTTGCTCAGAGGCTGACTCTTCTAAAGTCACTGATGCAAGAATACCCATATTATTTACATTGAAAAAAATATTAAAGCCTTCTTATATATTAAGTCGTTTCGTATGGGTCTTAAATGAAACATAAAGAAGCTAAATCTCTCATTAAAACTAGAACGAGATTATAAAGCCATAAATGGAGCAAATAACCACATTTAACCAGGTACAGTCAGTACAGCTGGTTTCCACCAGAGGGCGCGATGGGCTCGAAATGCATTTAACATCGCCAACACGTGCCCCGACGCGCACGCTGCTCATGAGGAAGAGCCTCTCTGTGGTTCAAAACTAGTACAGTTTTTCTCAGTATATTCAAGTGAGTAACCCGCGATTTTTAGTTGATTTGGCATGTCACATGATAACTATCATAATAAAAACAAAATAAATAGTAATTAGGTACCAGCACAGTAAATAACTGTGCTGACTGTACATCCTCATTAATTGACTGCCGTAACGAATTCTAGCGAAAGATACACGAATCAATTTTTGTTTTCATTTATAATAGAGGAATGTATTATATACATCCTATATAGTACCCACACTTATAAGCAATACTTTGTTAACATCGATTGTTTATTGGTGGACATTGTCAGTTGATGGTAGTGCGATGGGATACCACAAGTCTCACACGTTCTGTGTCATCCTGTCGCTTGCACATATTATACTCGGTGAAGTTTGGGAATTCGGAGATTTTAATACCCCAGAAAGTGCACCTGCCGAGAACATCCAAGGTTCTGTAGGATTTTTGGAACGGACTAAACAAATACCGATACAAGTAAGTAAAATATTTTGAGAAAGAGTAGTCGTTGTGGCACCAAATTGAGGCACCCACTTCTCATACCTGTGGTGTCGTGTTGGCCTGGAGATTTGTGACGCCCGCTTCTCATGCATGAGAGTGCCAGTAACCTACCAACGGCAAGTACCAATGTGACCTTTTCCGAGTTATATGTACCTACTTTCTAAGGTTATTTATATACCAACGATAAAGATAAACTTCCTGACTGAGGGAACGTGCGTATAATTTCTAATTATAAGTTCGAAATCGCCAAGTTGAGCAAGCGTGCTGATTAATACCCATGCCTTCTCTGTATGTGAAGAGGCCATTGCTCAGCAGTGGACACTTAAAAGCTGTATTTATGATGTGCGATAATTAATCTAATTTATTCAATATTTTTATATCTCACAATTATTCTGCACATAACGACCTACCTACGCGTTTAAAATTAAGATTATTATTCCATATATATATTTAAAATTCTCTATAAATTACATTTTTAAATATTACTTACAAAATAAAAATATAATATTTAAAAATATTAAAAATATAAAATTAAGATTATCATTACGCACACCAGAGTTGTAATAAAAAAAATATCTTGTAGGTGCCACCATGCAGCGTCATAACCTTCGTTGGAGTGAAGATTAATAACCGAGTATCAAGCCCATCTGTGTTTTATAATCCCCAAACAAGTTTGGTGACGATTTCTTATAAATGGTGGCAACACGGCCACTCCTCGTATGAAATTGTAAGCAAAGCTGTGCGAATACAGGGGTGTGATAGTTAAGCCCCAAAATAACCAGAGTCTCCAAAACCAGGCGCTAACTAAAACTTTTATACAACCAAACACATTAAAAATTTAGAATATTTATTTAACAAATTAACAAGCTATTTTCATGAATAAAATGGTAAAAAGCATTGCTTTTTATTAATTATTTACAAATTAATATTAATTCGATCATTAGGAGGGAAATACGGGGGTTGCCTTGAATGACTTCTTCCGGCTTAGGTGAAGCGTGAGGGAGTGTCAGACTCTTACTGACTAAAAACCACCCCGTTCTAAAATGTTTTCCAGGAGTGTTGAAAATTGGCAATTTTGTTGATTTTGATGTGCTCTTTCTGATTCTCGTTTCCTGTACATTTTATAAGAAAAACGTTTGGAATCCTGCAAAATACAAACACTTTCTACCAAACCAATGTGTATTGAAAATAACCTGCTTTTATTAATTTTTTAACCACAGATTTTAACGAATATAAGCCTTTTTTAAAAAACATTGTATTATTTTTTATCTATTTCTTTATACTGTATTTCTATAAACATCTATTTCTACTTCATATTATTATACTTGAACTAAAAAGAACTATTTTCATCTTTTTAAATTTTTTTTCTCTTTTTAAAATTTTTCAGTTTGAGCTGAACTGAAAAATTTTATAGCAAAATATGTATTTGCATTCTTCACGCGTAAAATGTTGATACAAACCTTCCGCACCGTGATAAAAGTATATTTTGCTTTGTCCAATTTGAAACTGATGATCCCCCAGATGATTACAGTCTATTTTTGCTATAGGTGGCGCTCTGTAGTTTCTGTATACCATCAGATGTATGAATATGACGGAAGCTATAGAAGTATGTAAGGAGCGTAGTAGGTGGCGCTCTGTATTTTCTGTATGCCATCAGATGTATGAATGTGATGAAAGCTAAACAAAGTATGTAAGGAGCGTAGTAGGTGGCGCTCCCTATACTTTATACTCTTTGGCTATTATGGCTATAGTCAAAAAGTGATTCAAACTTCAAATACATCGTGCCATAAACATTAAACATTACCACCAAATAAAAGAACAAAGATAACTTATTGACAACTCCTTTGGATAACTCTGACATGGAAATAATAAAAATAAACCATGCCATAGAAGAAAAATAAAAAAAAATCATTTCTGACATCTTCTTTCAGAAGTATGACGTTCGCGAGTGTTTGTAAGAAAGAGAAAACAAATTATAAAAGTGAATGAAAAATTGATAAACCTAATGAAATGATTTTATGTTACATGTAGAACAGCAGCAAAATATTACTCAAAAGTTTATTATAGGCAAATCCAACCCAAGGTACTTTCAATTCCACCACCGCCTTGGAACCACCTTTGGACAGCATCTCTAGTGCCTGCGTTACGACAGACTTTAAATTTTACTACTTTTCTTTAATTTCTCCTTTATACCGGTCTGTTAATGAAATTCTGATAAAAGAAAAGGTCACATAAGCAATGCATCCAATACGCGAAAGAAAATGCGACGTTTTACTGGACAATCCGCTTCTTAAAACTCCACCACCAGAACCTGAGAAGCCGCGTATACCACGCGTACGAAAGCCACGGGAGTTTAAACTGGTAACATTATCACTACTTTCTTTATGCCTACTGATGAATAATTGTTCAGTTAAGAACTCGATTACCCATGCATTACATTTCAGCCTCCAAGATTTCCCCTATTACCGAAAGAATTTTATGCCTGCTGGGTTAATCATCAAAAAGAGGTAAAAAGTTTATCAATATATTGTCTTTTTACTCAAGTTTACGAGTTCAATTTCAATTACTTTACTGTGTGATATACAGTTACAAATGACGAAGGCGAAAGTGGACGATAGCCCTCCAGAACTGTTCCCAGAATTGTACCTGAAACCTCGAAGACTAGACTTCTACGCTCGGCAACTGGAACATACTATGAATGTTAACAAGGAATTACTAAAGAAGATCAATCTCATACAGCGCACTGGAGTAAGATGTTTAATTTATAATAGTTTTGACATCAGAGTATGAAATAATGAAATGATTTTTTGGGGGGCATTTAATCATTTAAGGACTTCTCCTGCCTTGGATGAGGTGAAACAGGATATCAGACCCTTACCGACTAAAACCCAACCCGTTCCTACTCCTGCTTTGAACCGGAGCCCATCCGCAGCTCCGGAGTGATAGGTGTGGTAGTTTATTTTTCCATATTACCACGTCATTTACTAAGATAATGGAATTATCGAACTCCAACATGGGGATGATATGAAGGTTATAAAGCCTTCTTCGCATCTTTGTGAAAGTTTTCAAAGCAATTTAATCTTCACTTAATCCCATTTTCCTTAAATTTAAACAGATTGAAGAAGAAGAAGAAAAATAAGAATGAAAATGATGACCATTCATTAAAAAAATGTAATTCTACGACACTAGGAATTCATGGAATAGCTTGATATTTCCAGGGTTTCGTGGATTGCTGGAGACCTGAGCCTACCCATAAGTATAATAAGCTGCTCTGCAAACAACGACAGCGGGATCTGAACAAAATACAGCTGGCTAACTCTTATTTCTACTCCAGGCTGCTCGTTGCTGTAAGCCGACAGATTTTTTATGGATACAATATAAATAAAACATCACTATAATAAAATTTAACAGTTCTAATGTCCACATTTAGAGATCGGAGCAACTACTAACTAAAGAATTGAATGAGGCGTGGAAGGACACAAAGCACAAATTAATATTAGGAGCCTCGTAGGTATTTTCATATCCTTTAAAACCTCTTGTAGAATGTACCTATATAATTATTATTTACCTATTTTCAGGTTGCCGTTCATTCTATTCAAAACCGGAACAATTGATCGTGATATAAAAGATCCAACGTTCGACAAACCTATTAACGTTATTCGACCTAAGTAAGTTACGAATAACTATGAATATGGAAATGGCAAGAACAGGCAGATAATTATAAAAATCATTATTATAATATACTAGAATAGACGTCCTGCGTCTACTCCTAAATACAGTCCCCAGGTCCCCCACCCTTTCATTTCTCAAACAACTGGCTGGACACGACCATTCATTTATCAGTTATGATCGTACCACTGAAGGGCAAAGGTCGTTCTACCCTCCTTCCACTCATATCTGTGCAAAGTTATCTGTAAACAATCTTTAAAAAAAATACCATAGCTTACTATTAAAAACAAATCGCATTGCACTCAAGGTCAGAAAAATTATTTTCTTACAAAATATCTCCCGTTTCAGAGTGTCTATGGATATCTGGGTAAGAGGAGGTTCGAAGATCGGTAAGGTTTTAATCGAGCTTTTCTCCGACATTGTGCCTCAAACTTGTAAATTTTTCTTGAACCTCGTCAAAGGAGATTCGTATGGGCATGCTTATACTGGAACCAGATTCTTCAGGTTTGTACCTGATTACCTGAATAAAGAATCTTAGTAAATTAAATTCCTACTATACAGGGTTTAAACGGAACGCTGCCGGAAACCGTTCCTGACACCTGACAGGCGATGATCCAAAACAAGATTTCTTTTTTTGTTTTAAAAAACTAAACGCGATTAAAAATGTAAATTCAATTTTTTCGTCGTTTGGGTATAAACGTAGTAAAAAAATGTTGTGTAATTAATCAATGAGACATGGAAATCTTTTTGCTATTCTCATATATCGTTAATCGAATGACAAGCAATGGATTGTCTTCAAGTCGAGCAAAGTCTCATTAAGATTTTCAGGTTTTTGTTAGTACATATCTATTTCCTGTAAAATGATGCACCGTGCAAAACAGACGTGCATCATTTAGTTAGTATAACGCCCGAATACTGAAATACTACTCAATTTTGAGTTGTACTTAAATATCGTGCCATCTCTGTCATTTTGCAAAGAAATTGTAGAGACAGAACTATATTTAAGCGCGGCTTATAATTGAGTGACGTTTGAGTATATCAGCGTAAGATTTCATACGTGCTACTCTGTCTGTCGGTTTGGGAGATAGAGTTGATGCCTTTAGTTGTTTGTATATTGTTGTTTTTTACTCAGGATTGTCCCTGACCTATATTGTCGCGGTGGAGATGTGGCCAAGGACAATGGCTTCGGTGCGTACACCCCAAACATGGAAGGAGAAAACGCTGGCCAACCTGGCCTGATCTTCGAACACTTCGATTTGAACCATTCTGTACCAGGTGATTAATATATTCTCACAAAATTGTGGATACCTTACTGGATAAACGAGTCAGTCGATTAATTTTCTAATAGTGACATATTTTCTAATACGTAGTAAAAGTGTGGGAGAGCCATGCTTTCGGCACAAATGGGCCGGCTCGACTGGAGTTATACCACGGCCTCACAGAAAACCGACGTGAAATAACATTGTGGTTTGTCGTATGAGTGAGGTCACCGGAGGCCCAATAACCCTCCCCCCCCCCTTTCCCGTCTTCCCCAAGCTTTGCAATCCCTGAATTTCCAACAATCCTCAAATTCCTAATCTACAAAAAGCCGGTAACAAATCTGATGTTCCAGGTGTCCATGGGCGACGCCGATTGCTTATTAACAGATGATCTGTGTACTAAAAAAAAAATGTTAGGAGGAATACATGATATAATTATGTAGAATGATTGTAGGTACTTTGTATACATATAGGCTTGCGCTTGCGTATTACATGAGAATGAGACGGCTCGTGTACCTATTACATGACACACCTTAAAGTACTTTGGTTTAACACTCCGATAACTTCAACACAGGTGTACTATCGATGGTGATTACTGCGGACGGTGAAGCCACTGGTCAGTTCAACATTATATTCAAACCGCTACCACAGTTTGATAAGAGACACGTGGTCTTCGGTAGGGTAAGTTCATTTGGTCATTACTTTTTTATTTATACTTTTTAAATGCTACCCCTTACCACAGTATAAATATATACAGTAAGTATCTAGTTATCTAAGGCCGCCCGCCGAGTTATTAGCCTACTAATAAAAAGATTAATAACTTCTTAAAATAAACTTTAGCTCTAAACATAGTATTCAGAAAGTAAATTTGGGAATATATTTATATGGAAAAATGCGACTCGGCTACGCTCTTAACAAAGCAAATAAACTGTGAAATAAACAATACAATACCACATTTTCTTATAATATTTGAGTATAGTAGGTAATTACATGAAGAATGATAAGTCCGGGTTTGCGAAATCATTATTGAGGCACCTGAACAGTACCTACAATAATTTTTTCCCCTTTTTGAAAGAAAGAAAGAAGAAAGAAAAATAATTTATTCGCCACCAGACATGGACCACCGAAAATTAACACACAACATAAACATTGAAAAACTAAAATAAAAAAGAAAACAATATAAAAAACATGCAATAATCAAAAAAACAACAATGAAGGCAAAAAAAATGCTATAAAAAAGCAAAATAAAAGAAACAGGGTGGCAGCCAGTGGCGTGCAGTCCATATAGGCAAAAAGGCTTTGCCTACCTTACAAATACCGTGAATAACGTAATAAAAGATATAAATATTTTAATTTTACTACAGAATAATAAAATAATAATTATAAGAAAATTAGTGAACGCCTAAAATAAATAGTATAGCAACAATGATGGCGCGCGATACGTGTTGCATTTCGCCAGGCGTACCGTATATAGCTGTAAACATTAACGCGCGAGGCAGGCACGCGGTTCCGTCGCCTGCAAACTATTCATAAATTTAAGCGTGTAGTGGTGAACGTCATTGTGTGCGTAGTGCACAGACGCGTTTATTTTATCGTCGCGAAGCTTGCCTGCAGGCACGGCCTGACGACTCGTGATTGA